TGTCGATGTAAACCTTCATGGCGTCCTTGAGGTGTTCGACAAACATTTTGTTGACTAGCCGCTGATAGGTAGCCCCGACGTTCTTGAGACCGAACGACATCAACTTGCAGCAGTAGGTTCCCCTCTCTGTGATGAATGTTGTTTTTTCCTGGTTGTCGGAGTGCATCAAAATCTGGTTGTACCCTAAGAAGGTATCCATGAAACTTAGGAGCTCATGGCCTGCGGTCGCATCGACCATCATGTCGATATATGGGAGTGGGAAGGAGTCCTTAGGGCATGCTTTGTTTAAATTCATGAAGTCAATGCAGACCCTCCACTTTCCATTCTTTTTCTTTACGACCACAACGTTTGCCAGCCAGTCGGGGTAGTGGACCTCTTTGATCAGACTGTTATTCAGTAACTTATCAATCTCCTTATTAACGATTCGGTTACGCTTTGGTGCGAATTTCCTACGCCTCTGCTTCACTGGGGGTTGATCTGGATCTACTTTGAGGTGTTGGACGATTGCTTCTAGGCTGACTCCTGTCATGTCAGCATGGGACCAGGCGAAACAGTCCTGGTTTCATTTGAGGAATTCTATTAGTTTCTCTCTTGTCTCAGGCCCAAGGCGAAAGCCTATATGGGTTTTTCTTTCTGGGTCTTTCGGGTGAATCTGCACTTCATCCAGCTCTTCCATAAATGGTCAATCTGGCTCGATCGAAGGGGTTGGATGAGATTGTAGTTGCTATGAAGCATGACCTTTACTTTTGAAGGCGTTCTTGTAACAATCTCTGGAAGCCTTAGGATCGCCCTTGATTTCCTTTACTCCCCATTTTGTTGGAAACCTGATGGTTTAGTGGAAGGTGGATGGAACAGCTCGCATATTGTGAATCCAAGGTCGGCCCAAGATGACGTTGTATGGTGAAGGACAGTAAATCACTAGAAAAACGGTTTGCTTGTTTTCTTCACTAGCATAAACAAGAAGGATGATTTCTCCAATGGTGTATTTCTGTTTGGAACTGAACCCAACCAGTATGGTAGGTCATCTGTTGATGTTTGTTTCTTCCAGACCCATGACCTTCACTACTTCAAGAAAGAGAATGTTTGCTGAGGACCCCCCCCCCCCCCCATCTATGAATACTCTCTTGACCAGGATGTTAATGATTTGGAAGGAGATGACTAGAGCGTCATGATGAGGGGCGTTCAAGGTAACTGGCTTGTCATCTTCGAACTAAATTACCTGGTGGGTGTGTGATCGAGAGGACGGATGGATGGATTGGATTTCATAGTGGTTATTGGCTCTAGCGTACCATTTGGCTGAGGAATAACTGACCCCACTGATCTTCAAACCTCTTGAGATGATTGAGCAGAATCCTTTTGGTGTAGGTTCTCGTGAAGGTGGAGATGTTTCCTTTGTGCTTTTCTGGCTGATTGTATTCTTCCCTTTATCTGTCAACAGATCTCAGAGATGTCCCCTCTTTAGTAGTGCAGCAACTTCCAACTGCAAGGCGATGCAGTTCATGGTGTTATGTCCATGGTCGCCATGGAACTCGTACCACTTGGTCGTGTCCCTCCTTGCTTTGACATTAAGCTTGCCCGGCCACTTAACGATAGGTTCCATTCCTTTCATGATTGCCACGACTTGGGCTGGTTCGACGTTGAGGTTGTACTCCTGGACTTTGTATTGGCTCGACCTGGTTGGTCTGTTGTCGGTTCTAAGTGGCTGGCGGTCATATGGTTTTCTAACTTTGTATCATTCCGCCTTAGGTCATACCTAGCATGACTCATCCGATTCATCTCATCTTCCTCCCACCTTATTTGAATCACCGCTCTGGCCAAGGCATCTTCCATCGTGGTGCAACTAAGCTTCGTCAGATCTTTGTATAGTTCACCATCCGAGAGGAGACCCTTTCTGAAGGCGTTTGTGGCTGTCTCAGGGTTATAGGAGGGGATGGAGATTTTTTCTTTGTTGAATCTGCTAACGTACTCTCTTAGTGGCTCCCCCTTTTCTGGTAGACCTTGTATAGGTCGGCCGATAGTTTCTCAAGTTTCTTGCTGCTAACGAATTGTTCAATGAAGGTGTCGGTGAGCTGGGCGAACGAGTTGATTGAACTGTTTGAGAGGTTAGTGTACCACTGAAGAGCCGGACCAGAGAGACTTGAACCAAAGCTCTTACACATGCAGTCTTCCTTTAGTGTTCGGGGTATCAAGACGATGAACATCTGCTACTTGTACGAGACTATGTGATCATCTGGGTCGGTTGTACCGTCATAGGGCTTCATGCCAGGGATAGTGAATTTGTGGGGCATGTCAGTTAGCGCGATCGCATCCAAAAAGGGTGAATCGGCATAACAATAAGGATTGCTCTTTCTGGTAGGGATTGGCATTCCTGGTATGCGCCTCATCACTGCCTCTAGGTCGGCTAGTCTCTTGGCCAATATATGTGTCATGGGAGAGGAGGATATCACTAAGTCATCCTGATTGACTCGGTTGGCCAAAGGATTCACACTCGGTGAATTTTGTTGGGTCAATCCGCATGGTGTAGCCTGGTGGATCATTCCTTCTTGTATCGTTTGGTAGCCTAGATCCCCATTCATTCCCTCCGGTTGGGTGACTCCCATTGTAACTGATCGGGTGTTTCGCCCTACATGAATGGTTAAGGGGTTATTTGGGATTCGCTCGGTCCGTTGGGATGGACGAACTCGAGCGGGATGGTTTGAAGTGGGTGACCGCTTGACTCGCGAGGATGAATCGAGCCGAGTGGAGTTTGTGTAATGATGGTTGACTGAAGGTGAGGTGGGATGGCAAGGATGGGCAGTTCTTGTTGTAGCGAGCTTTCTATCACTTGGACGACTTGATCTTGCGCCTGAGGCAGATCGACCGAGAGGGGTTCCATTGGCAAACCCCGTTCACCATGAATCAGGGCTGAATCGTCGACCAATGGCAAACATAGCTGACGCAACCTCTTATCTGAGGTCGTGGGTCTGTGCTCTAGAGTTTGGAGAGGTTGCATAGACGGAACTGTGGCGTGGAACCGGTTGGGCTGTACTTGACAAGGCAGAAGCTCAAGATCATAAAACTGACTTACCTTCTCTTTTAGAGACTGGTTTTTAGCTCTGATGGAGGCGTTTTCAATTCGAATGGTAGTGTTCTTAGCTTCCAGTGCGACCACCTTGTTTGAGTGTTGTTGCATGAGGGCGGTTAGTGCCTCCAGTTTGGCCTCAAGGCCGGGGTTAGTGTTATCAGAATTTTCAACCATTGAGAGTTTCTTTACGTAGCAGAGTTTGTGAAACGAACGATTGCCAAAGGCCCCACTGTGGGTGCCAAACTGTAGACGTAAAAATCTACCTGTACGGAAGGAGGGACTGATCCCGTGAGGTTGATGCCACTAGCGATCTACTGCACCTGCACACGTAAGGAAACAAGCGTGAAGTGATGGAAAACACCAGAGTGGTGTTTGCCGTAGGCACTCCAACGCTCAAGTCAGCAAAGCTAAATAAGACTAATTTAGTAAGGGCTAAGGAGAAGAAAGGTTACCGAAAGTCTAGTCGGGGACTGTGACTACGGTTATAACGCGAAGTTCTCAAGAGTAAGAACTTCAGGGTCTGAGGGTGTAATGTCAATGTCCTTTGTGAGAGGGCTGGCCTCTGTTTAAATAGTGACTGTATGGCCTCCGAGTCCTGGTGGGACTAGGAGTCCTTGTGATGGTAGTCCTCTCAAAAGGTGTAGCCTTTGGCTCCCTTATCTCAGTAGGAAAGGGAGTTCGAATGTGCCTTGGATACGGACCTTGGAAGAGTTAGGATAGTAATTGACTTCTTTAGCAAAGTTCAAGTAGGAATGTAGTTTGTAGGCAACTGTGGGCTTCGAGTTGACTGTAAGCCCAGAAGGTGTTCTAGGGTAAAGAGGCCTGGTTCTAGATGGTGAGGAGCTGAGAAGACATACTGAATGGGCCTCATCTACAGAACCTTGATTTGGCCCCATCGGAGTTGGGCCCGAGCTTCCAGCTTGGATAAAGGTGTCTATGTCTTTGGGCCTATTTGGGTCGAGGACATTTTTTGGCCCTAACATATTCTAACCCAGATATAAACTAAATAGTTTTTTTACAAATTAAAGTTATAAATAAACTTATTTAATAAGTTCTTAAATAAATAAATAATTCATTATTTAAATGGGCAAAAATAATTAACCACTCCACAAGTCTAGAAATTGTCAATGGTAAGATTGAGCTTTTTAATTAATTTCCTCCTAATGTTTTAAGAAATTACTCAAAATTCAGAAACTACCTTTAATAACATATTCCAATAATTTACCATTTAAAAATTAAAAAGTATATTTACCCTTAATTTTGATATTTTAGCAAATAACTAAGTAAAACAATAATTTGGCATTGAGTTTGATTTTCAAAAAGAATTTAGTAGAGAAGTTTTTGGCGAAAACAACATTTGTTTTTTAAAGTGTTGAAGATGCACTTAAAATTGGGGGAAAACAAAATTTGAGAGTTGGTCAAATAACATTGGTTCTATAAATTGTAGTTAAATTATGTTTGCCCCTCATTTGTGTCAATTTTTTAAATAAAAAAAAATTGGTTCAATGAATATATATATATATATATATATATAGGTTTTCTTCACATAAATATAAAATGTATATACAAATTCATATAAATAAATCAATTTCATATTATTTTTAATTTAAATATTAAGGTTTTCTCAAACCCTTAAGCTTTAATCAAATAACAAAAGTTTCTTTGAAATTTTAAAAATAACAAAAAGTTCTCTATCGTTAGTAAACTGTTAGTATACCATTAGAGTTCATAGTTAATTGGTTAATAAATATTTACCTCAATGCCTCTATGCTGTTTTAAGATTTCTGTTATTTCTATTTCTACGCGGGAGTGTTGAAAATTAATGTATTACCTAAGGGGAATTATTAACCCTGCATATATTAAGTCAACTTTTTATATTTACTATTTCCTTTTTGTTAGTTTCAAAGTAAATCATCACCGGGCCGGCCGGGCCTTAGCGATGGGCCGCTGGAAAGCTCATCTGCAGATTCACCTGACCTATATAAATCTATAGCACAAAACGCAAAATTACAATCTGGTCTTCAAATATAAACGCGAAATTCCTCTGGTCCGTCTCGTTGGTCGCCTTCTTTAGGTACGTACAGTTCATTAGCCGTTATTGACTGCAATTTCCGTTTCAAATCTAAATCATTCCTAATTCCGATGTAATTTTTACATCTTACATACGTTTAATTAGCCGTATGATTCTTGGATGGACTATCTGATTGATTAATTGATTGATTGATATGCAGGCAACTGTTAATTTAGGGTTTTTTTTCTTTCGTTATCTAAATTGTTAATTTAAAGTGGGAGAGATGGGTGTGAAGCAAGCTATAAAGAGTCTCGACGCCTTTCCACGCGCAGAGGAGCACTTGTTGCAGAAAACCCAATCTGGGGCACTTGGTCAATCATCTTATAACCATTTTGATTTACATTGTTAATTCATTTGCTTCCAGTTATTGTGAATTGGCTGATCAAATTGTTTTCCATTGTTTTGTGTTTTCAATTATGTAGTCTCGATCATTGGTCTAATCATAATGGCCTCATTATTCTTGCATGAGCTCAGATATTATGTTACAACATATACTGTTCATCAGGTATGCGTTTCATTTCTGAAATTAATATGTAAATATTTACACTCCCAATTTTATGTGTAAATATTTCAATTCTGAAATTAATAGGATACAATATAGGATGGATTTGTTAACGATAAATGTGAATCGGGAAACATTAGATGGGCAGAACAAATTAGAATTTGCATTAAGAAACAGTTACCAAAATAATCATAGTTTCTATTAGCTTACTCTGAGTCTAAGTTAGCTTGAAGCTTAAGACTAATATAGGGGCTAGTTTGTCTCATTGAAGATTAACCTTAGAGAATCTTTTAAATGGAAACTTGCAATACAAATGTTTAAATCTTGTTCTCTTGGCAATTAAAGGGAGGTTGAAGTAGAATTAAAACAGAATGATTAAGATATAAAATTCGATAATACTAATATGGTTATTGGTTTTGTTGTGTTTTAGCTAGCTTTCTGTGTCTCTATCCTCTTCCTCCTGAGTAAATTTATAATATTAATGTATCCTTGTCTCTTCGTTATCATTCTTTCTTTCTTTTTTCTTTTTTCTTTTTTCTCAGAAAAATGGTAATTTTTTACTTTACTTTGTTGGTCCCATGGGGCCATGGTTAATTTACTTTGTTGGTCCCATGGGGCCATGGTTAATCGAATCTTGAAATGAATTTTTTTTTCTTGAGTTTTAAGTAACCTAGCATATTTGTGACAATATGGATACTTTTGGGTACTGAAAGCTTATTGCTTCATTGATATATGCTCATGGGATAAGTAGACTGTATATTGAAGACTAGATCAACTGAGGGAATTCCTCGAATTTGGAGGGAAGAATGAAGAAGTCAATAGAGCTTCCATAGGACCTATGAAATTGGAGGATATGAATACATTGGTTATACAGTGCTGCTTTTGGGACTTTTATAAGACGAAGGTGTAACCCAACTTAACCGATGATTTTTTTTTTTTATTTCGCTTGATGAACTAGTGATTCTTCCCTCTGTGTTGCTTTGTTTCCAAATTGCCCAACTAAGTTGTGTGGAGGGAAAATTCTAAATATATTGCTTTCAAGTCCAATGCTTTGATGGCCCACCTAAAAATTGAAATCTGAAATGCATTGCCTTGGTGGATGAGGGAATCTAAACAACTACTACATTAGAAAGTTCAAGAAACAGTCTTTGCTAATGAAGGTTAATAGTTTATGTATAACTTCCAAACCACTACTACATGAGACAATTGATAAAACACACTTTGTCTGCTATTAAAAGTTCATACTTTATGTATAACTTCCAAATAATAGGGTTCTCTAGGTGAATTAAATTGCCAAAGAATTTAAATAAGCCAACTATTTGTTAGAGAACGACAAAAGATTAGAATGACTTGTTATAGGTGGGGTAGCACTTGACTAGATAATTTCCCTTAGTTAGGCAACCATAACCTTATATCTAATAGGCTTGTGAGGAAATTTGGAAAGTTCATTGGCAATAATCTTGATCAAGACAGGTAAAAATCATGAGCCACACATGTCAGTTTATGTACTTCATGAGCATACACATGAATTGACAGAGTATGTGTTTGGCAGATGTCTGTAGACTTGAAACGTGGAGAAACACTTCCTATTCACATAAACATGACATTTCCTTCTTTACCTTGTGATGGTTAGCCTCTCTCTTTTTCTTCTTTGAAGTGGCTATTTATTTGTATATCCTTTGTTTATCTCATATTTGACTTATTTTGCACAATAAAGTTTTGGATGATCACTCTTTTCCTTTCTTTTTTTGAATTTTTCTTGCAGTCTTAAGTGTTGATGCTATTGATATGTCAGGCAAGCATGAAGTTGATCTCGATACAAACATATGGAAAGTATGAAATTTAGAAAAACATTGTATTAGCTTTTGTATACTAGTTTTAATTCCAACACGTGCCTCATTCATTGGAGAAAACCTCTAATTATTTCTGCATTACCTATATATGGAGCAATTGGAAGACATAGGAGAAGTGAAAATAACATAGGAGGAGCATGTACATGGCACATATGCAATTCATATTTATGAATAACTGGAGGGAATGGGGATGATCACATGAGGCAAGGATTATGTCACTGTGCATGCACCTTGTGCTGAGTTTTAGTTTGGACTATGGTTCTTGATGGTATTTTGGAGGTTGTTGGGCAAGCCTGTTAATTGCTGAAGATGGAAAAATAAATTTTATGAGGTTTAATTGTGGAAATTTTTACTGCTTACAGTGTAGGAAGAGTAATAATTTCTAGTATAATCCTCTAATGAACCAGTTAACACATAAGCCTGTGAATTTGCATTAGTTCATGGCATCAGTAATGTGAATCTTTAACAAAAGAATTTTAGAATATTTTTAACACCAATGAAAATCTGGGCTTAAGAAATTGGATTCTGATTATGCATAACATTTTTGTGATACTTTAGAAGTTTCAGAATAATCCTTTCCCAAATTTAACCATTCTTAAGTTGCCCTATTTTAGATGGGTGTTACATGGTGTACCTTGAAAAGCTTCCTCAATAGCAAGAAAAATTGCATTTTCAAAATGATTCTCAAACCATTTCTATTAAGATTGAAATGATGAATTTACCCTCATTTTTTTATTTTTAAAGTATGCTAATGAGGTGAGAGAGAAATGCTGAGATGAGGATAAAATGTTATGAAGCTAAATATTTAGGGGAGTGTGATAAGTATTTGGGGAGTTTGACTTGTGCAACCCTTGTTTTATTCATTATATCAAGTTTGGGTGTTTTAACCATTTTAGCCATCAACTATTTATTTTTGGGGAGACTGCTTTTTGTTCCCCCTATTAATTTTTTTTCTGATTGAGTTGATAGTTATAATATGGTAGAACTCTTCGTATGCTTTCCTGCTTACTAGAATATAATTTTTGCAGCTTCGCCTGAACAGTTATGGCCATATCATCGGCACTGAATATTTGTCTGACCTGGTGGAACAGGACCATGGTCACAAGCATGGTATAGTTTTCATTGCATCATAAATTAAATTTTGGTTTGGAGTTTACTATGCTTTTGAATTCTCATTCTCTATAGCATTTAGTATCCTATTTGTTTCCTTTTTCCAGCTTCTATTCCATTTATTATTTAGGCATTTTAGTGAATTTTATTGGGAAAAAAAGGAAAAAAAGAAGAAGAAAGAGATAGAAGTCCACAACTAGAAACAAATTGAAAGATATTGGGCCAATCTAAGCAAATCTCACATATCCACAACTTGGGAATAATTAACAACATGAAGATAAGCCATGCAAAATTTCAAGATTTTTTGTGATTAAAAGAAAAAGTTAAATCACAAAAAGGACAAAACAAAACTCCATGCTTTGAAGCTGTGGGTCTAGATTATCTTTGAAGTTGGCAGATATTATTATTGTTCATCATGGCCATGATAGCATGATTGCATGTGATTTGTCGTCAAGTGAATCCCAAGTGAAAAGAAGAGAAATGGAAATGTTATTTGTGTTCATCATGGCCATGATAGCATGTTTGCATGTGATTTGTCGTCAAGTGAATCCCAAGTGAAAAGAAGAGAAATGGAAATGTTATTTGTGTTCATCATGGCCATGATAGCATGTTTCCATGTGATTTGTTGTCAAAGGAACTGCTAGTAAATAGAAAGAGAAATGGAAAGTTACAAGAATTTGGAGAGTGATGTAAGCTGATAAAAGATGGCTGGCTTCTGTAGCACAGTGAGATTTGAGATTGAGTTTTTGTTGGGACATATCAAGTTTGTGTGAAAGGTTGTTATTTTGATATTGGTGTAGAAGCTGAGATGAAATGAGAGGAATTATAACAACATTGTTCTAGGATTAGTGGATTTCAGGAAAAAAAAGATGGGTATAAAGGAAACTATTAAATTCTTACAATTTGATGCTATCAAGCTTGGGGAACTTGAGTCAATAGCAATGACCTCTCCTCATCCCTGCCCTGAAATTCTAAATGAGTTTCCACCCCAGCTTCGAATAGAACAAATCCCCCAGGCATTTTTGACATCTTAGTGAATGTTTAGGCTTTCTTTTGAGGGGGACAAGGTGGGCGGGAACAGTGATTCCATCATAGTGTCTATGAGAGTTCCCTTCTCTCCTTCCATTTATTGTGAGTGTTTCTTTAAATACTTTGATGAGGGATTGTAGAGTTTGGAGATTTGATTCTTCAGATCTTTTTTTAATCTTATAAGTTAACTTTTAGAGTAGCTAACTGCTGATCCTTAATTTTACTTCTTTCCAACCAGCTTGAATGATATGGAAAACCAAAACACTTTGTTGGTCTTTGGTTCTTTGAAGTATCAATACTTATGTTATTGTTCAAAATTGTGTACTTGTCTTGTAGTTGGTGTGTGATGTGCAAAAGCAAGAACGAAAGCATTAATATTTGTTTCTTCCTTGATCTATCATGGTAAGTTTGTAATATAAGCTTTACAAGCAACACATATTTCATGGGCATAAATTTTTATTATATCAGTGGTTTGTCTAACTTTGTAACTGAGTAATTATCAAGCCATTGGTCTTTTGGTTTTCTTAATGGTACTTTGACCAGATGATAAAGGTCATCATGAGGATTCTGATGAGAAACTTCATGCATTTGGCTTTGATCAAGCTTCTGAAAATTTGATCAAGAAAGTGAAGCAAGCATTGGAAAATGGTGAAGGATGCCGGGTATTACTTCTAGAGCAAGCGTTAATTTCAATCATATTAATACAGTGATTTAGTTTATCACTCTAATCTCAAGTCCTAGAGAAGAAGGGGGGGGGAAAAAAAAAAGAACCTAACATGCTAGCATAACACTTGTGCAGGTTTATGGAGTTCTGGATGTTCAAAGGGTTGCTGGAAACTTTCATATATCAGTTCATGGGTTAAACATTTATGTAGCTCAAACGGTCAGTAGCGTTTTCTTATATGTGTTATGGAAATGTCATGTAGTATAGAGAAAAAAGCCTAGGATGGACATGAATTTAAATATCTTTTTTTTTCTTGTTAGTGATGATGTTGGTACCATGGATTACATTTGTGCAAAAACCTGGTTTGGTATTTGGATGACTGATAAAGATTATGGTTAGTTTTGAAGCCATATATGTCTTTATTGGGTATATTATAGAGTGTTCAGTATTTTGGGTAAATGGTGAAAAGTTTCTACTGTTTAAATTATATCATATATGACAATATAGAAGGCAATTTTGAGATTCAGTATATATTTACATATTGAAAGCCATCTTAACTCACATAAGACTTAATATATGTGTTCTTATGGCACAGTTTTCACAAGACTTTTGAGATTTTTTTAAAGATCTAACTCTTTTCCAGTGGTCATGTGGTCTACCTTTGTATTTAAAAAAAAAAAAGACTTAAATTCTATGTACTTGTGGTTTGGTATTTCATGTTTATGCCTTTTGACCTATTTGGAGCATTGTACTCTATTCTTTGCAGATTTTGATGTCTGCAACATGTCTGCAACACAAGTTTATAACTGAGGATGCAAATTGGTTGTAAAATGTAGTAAAAATTAATTTTTAGGAGCTTATAAATCCTAAAAGTTAAGTTTAATGATTTTGGGAAAATAGTTAGAAAAAGATGCATGTGCAACTAATCTGCCATTTGTGTGAAGTGACAATATTGAAGATTTGTATCTTCTCCACTAAAAAATAGATTTGCAATGAAGTATAACAGTTATACACAAAAAATTTCTGCAGCCAAAACACAAATTTGTGAAACGCTTACATATAATGCCATGTGAAGCATTTGGAGCTAATTTTGCGTATGTATCATGGTGAGAGTTCTGACTCAGAAGCCTAAGACTAGTTATGGGTTCTCTTCACCTGTCAAAAATATCAAGAAGTTTTTGGTTACATTTAATTGTAACTCTTCCCTTAAAAAGCAGTATTCTGAGTCATTTGTCTTTTGATTTATTGGTTTCATTGATTTCTACTTTTTAAAAGTACTATAATAATACAGACTTCTGGTCTATGTGTCTTATTTTGAGTTTACATAAGGTGATGCATTTTCATGTGGGAACTTTATTTGCTCCTTTTCCTTTTCTAGATATTTGGGGGAGCTACACACGTAAATGTGAGTCATACCATCCATGATCTATCATTTGGGCCTAAATATCCAGGAATTCACAATCCACTAGATGGGACAGTGCGAATGCTGCATGATACAAGTGGAACATTCAAATATTACATAAAGGTTTGACTGCATGCTCATTCTGATTAAGCTTTTGAACTTTGATCTAGCGTATATATCTTAGCCTGCCTTTGGCAAGGAACATTATTTATCTTGCACATTTTGTGGACACTTAACAGGCAAGAAACTGCAATGCTTAAGACTGCAACTAAATATTGTGATGGAAAATATGATGTTCGATGAATTTGGAAAAGATAATGTTGCTTTCCATCGTAATTTACATGCATAAATTGGTAGTAGATTGGCCTATTGAATAATGTTTGCTGTTGAATATGGTGCATTTGTATAATTGGTCAAGGAAGAGTAGATATGATATTTCTAACTGAAATTTTATATTATGTGATATGATTTTCTTCAATTTATTGAGCTGCCATAAGAATTTTTGTTGATCCAATTTTGAGTTTTCTACTGTTTGATATTTCCTTTCCTTGTGACCCATTGAACTTTTCTGTGTATAATCTTGCAGATTGTTCCTACTGAATACAGATATATATCGAAAGAAGTTTTGCCAACAAATCAATTCTCTGTAACAGAATATTTCTCTCCAATGAATGAGTTTGACAGGACATGGCCAGGTGGGTTGCAGCCTGATGCATTTAGCATTTGATTTGTCTTTTATTTTCTTAATTGGTTCTTGGAACTGATAACCATCCATGCTTTTCTTTTCCTTTATGCAGCTGTATACTTCTTGTATGATCTTTCACCTATAACTGTAACTATCAAAGAAGAACGACGCAGTTTTCTCCATTTCATTACTCGGCTTTGTGCAGTATTAGGTGGCACATTTGCTTTGACAGGTTTGTCTCAATACCATTCTGACTGTAAAAATGTTGCTAATGTTATTAGGGGTAATTCCAGATGGCTTCACCGTCTAATTAAAAAGTGATATGCTGTACATTCTAAGTTTGTATCTTAATTTTTATGCTCCAAATGTGATGGCACTAAAAAATAGTTGTCATATTAACTAACCTATATTGACATGACATATTTGAATCAATGCCACATTACTTATGATAACACAGTAGAAATAAGTTACAGTGTAATTGGGAAGTATGCTTTAATTTTGATGGTGTAGTATTAAAGAAATGATATATTTTTGAACAGGGATGCTAGATCGTTGGATGTATAGGTTACTTGAGGTGTTGACTAATAAACCAAAAGCTAGAAGTGTACTACGATAAATTTGGGAACTTAATAGTTATGTTAACTCACGTGGATGGTCATGGTCATCTCCAACAAAGCTAAGATTGCAGAATTGAAACCTTGGAGGAGCCAAGAGTCCAGCCGGCCCCATTCAACTTGTACTATTTCCTTTTTCTTTCTATCCTCTCAACATCTGCTAACTGATGTGTTCTATTTAATCTTCTTCTGTAATACTTTGATGGTGGAACAATATACAAAATTGTAATAGGATATTATACATGTAAGACCCAAAATTTTGATGGACTGATGGTGATGATATGATATATTGTTTGGAAATGGGAGCTATTCTTTTGTATGAGTTGGACAAATAAATATACATTCGGTTTCCTTAGGGGTTTGTTGACAAGGTCACATTTTGAGAATTTTTGTGACATAATTTCGGAAGGGGTTTTGCCACCCTCATTAGGTTAAGCTACTAACAAAATCCCCCTCATGTTAGAGAGCCGTTTTAACTTTGAACTGACATTGACAAAGCAGTGAAATCCAGAATAACACAATAAAAAATTGTTGTCTTGTCTCAATTAAAATGCCCTTTTTTTTTTAAATAATTAATTAATTTAAAATAAAATTGTCTTATTTTTCTCCCCCATTTTTTCTTGAACTAAAAATACAATACATTAAACAATGACACCTGCTAATTCGGGCACGATCAACTTCAGCCTTTAGTCACAACTCACAACTCGCCCTGAGGTTGGGCCCCCGTCTTGTTTGGGCTGGGTATTAAGTGCAATAAATCGAGGATAGGGATGATCTTTCATCCCCGCATTGATTTTAGGCCTTGGACGGAGATTGATTCTAATCACAAAGCAAAATAAATAATTTTTTCTCTTAATATCATTTATGGGAAACATATTTTATATAATTTGCCTATTACAGTTAAGGAATAAATATTTTGGGTGTTAAATATAATAATAATGATAGAATTATATTAAGTTTTAGGGACATACCATTTTAGATGTGAGGAGTTTTGAAAATTAAATAAGTCTTTAATATTAGTTTTTTTTTCTTTTTAATATTTATTTATTTTTATTTTTATTTTTTTGTAATTCAAAATTTGGTTGAATATATATGTATATAGTAGAACCTCTCTATAGTCATAATATTGAGGCCAACTAAATTTATTACTATAAGGAGGTTATAATTTAATAAAGGTGTAACCGCAAGAATTATTATTTTGATTTCTTATTTTTTAATTCATGTTTTAGTAGTATTAAAATTTCAATTAATTGTTTTAATAGCATTAAGATAGTACGGAAATGGATATCAAAGAGTCACTGTAAAATTGACTGATCAGATTCAACAACTTCATTACACTAATCAAATGAATATTAATGTCTTCCTCAATCATCTAAATGAGCAACAAGTCGTATATATTTTAACTGAAAAATAAATCATTACTGGAATTAAACAAGAAAAGGAAAGAGATAATCCTAAGGATGATAGTATATAAATAACAAAAATTTCATGCCAAGAAGTTCTAAACATACTTGAAAGCTAGAAATATTTTGGCTTCAATAAGAAGGTGTCCATGCTGGCAGCTTATTACATACCCGCAAGATAAAAGATGTGCTAACAACTCTAAAGCATAAATCATTGTCTCAAACAACTTTAGATAAATATTTTATTTCATCTTAAACCTTTAATGTAACATAACATATATTTTTTACAATATATATATAATTATTACTATGTAGAGGCAAGTTCTTTGAGATGAGACCTAGAAAAATTATAACTTATTATAACATGAAATTTATTCTTATTTATAACTGGTCCAAGTTAGAACCATAATTTTTTATGACTACATGGAGGTTATTCATATATAAAGTATCATTATAAAGAAGTTCTACTTGTGTGTGTATATATATATATATAAGGAAAAAAAGATGTGGTAAGAAAGATCACTAATGTTTCTCTCTATAACCTATATTCATTTAATGGGAGTTTTGCTAACAGCTAATTTACTTTTTTTATTTATTTTAAATTAATATAAGTGAATAAAAATTTAGTGGTTCAATTAAAAAAATTAAAAATTTTGAAACAATCAAATTATAAAAATTAAATTTAAAGAATTTCAAGTCGATCGAGCCGGGGACGAGGGTACCCAATTTTTGGGGGATGGGGACAAGGATGGCGATCCCAAGGCCGCCCCGACCTGTTGCCATCCTTAAGCTCGCATGATATCACCTAAATATTAAGATTCAGACACTATAATGAAAGTCAGATAATGCCTAATAGTGCCCAATAGTGTTCAACAACATATTCGGGTGTTGTGGTCTTCAACCTCTAACCCTAAATCGATCGACTTGCATGAATGATCACACAAACATGCAATGCAAATGCTAAAGCACTTTAAACCTAAATTGGTACCCAATCCAAGAACGTATAATTCATTCCTAAACTATCTCGTATGTGAAAAAACATATATTTTATAACTTACAACAAATGAAAGAATGAGATAAAAGTCTTTAATTTAACAATGAATACTTGATAATTGATTACTTTGTTGTTAATGTATATAGAGAGTTGATGATTTAAGAGAAGACTTGTGCTTGGATAGAAGAATAAGAGGTGAAGAAGTTAGGTTTTATATAAAGGGCCCGTTTGGAGGGGGTTAATATTAGATAACTGAGGTAATATTTTTTAAATTGAATAGATGACGATGTTTGGTTGGTTTGTAAAAAAATATTGCCTGCATATTTTATGACAAACAGTGGCATTTGGGGGGGGGGGGGGGGGGGGGGGGGGGGGGGGGCGGGCGGGGGGCAGGTGTTTGGTTATAAAAACTTACCCAAGTTAATCTAATTTTGTTTCCTATATTTCCCCTAAACAGTTGAGCATTTGGTCCAAATTAGCTGCCAAAAGTCACCATAATGGCATACGATCGGTCGTATATGGCTGGTCATGCGTCGATAAGGCCTTTTCTGACCATGGATCACAGATCCATGGTCGAAAACGGCCATGACCAAATCTATGGCACTACCATCATCACTACCAGATCTATGGCATTGCCAGCGTCACGGCCAAATCTATGGCATTTTTGGCGGCCGCTGACGGTGGTTGCTGACTGTTGGTAGTGACTTGGGTTGTTTTTGTTAAGTTTAAAATGTTTTTGGTTGCTAGGGTATTTTTGCTAAATCTGAAAAATAGGGGTTTAAAAGAAATTATTCAAGAAATAATAATACAAAATACTATTATATTAATATTTAAAAAGGAAGACAATTTAGTAATCTATATAACATACTCACCCATTTATCCTCCCAACTAGAGGTGGAACTTTTGCGTCGGGTTAGGCGGATCAACCCTAACTCGACCCATCCCAACTGGGTCAACCTAGCCCGGCATAAGGTGAGGATCGAGTTGGGCTTAACCCGGGTGCATCCGACCAAGTGGTTTAGGCCTGCATTGGCATGACCCGCCAACCCGACAAGTCAATTTTTTTTTAAAAAAAAAAACCTGGCAACCTGGCGGGTTGCCCGTTTGGTAAAAACGGCGGGTTAGCCAAAAAAATAATTTTTTTTACAAAAATCTATCTACGTTTTTATCCTTCAAATATAGCCGTTGGACAGGTCTTTTTAGTCATTTTCTTTTCCCTTTTTTCTATAAATAAGGCCTAAACTTCTCATATTTCCGCACATCCAATTTTCTCTCAATTCTCTAATCTTCTTCAATTGCTATTTGCTCTTGTTCTAAAAATCTCTCAATTTTCAATTTGCTCTCATTTTAATTTTTATTACTTTTTATAATTGTCAATTCATATTTCTAAATTCCAATTCTCCTTCTTTAATTTTTTTTTTTTTTTTTTTTTTTTTTTTTTTTTTTTTTAAACTAGAATGGATAGATATTTCCATCCCATCAATTTCGATGATGAAGGAAACTACTGTCCTAGTCCCCTTGAATTTACTAACATAAATGCAGTAGATTCAAACAGTCTCCATTTCCCACTCTCAGAATCTAATTCAGCCATTCCTAATCCTCCTCATGCTGCTATAGCTCTCACTCCCAATGGTTCTANTTTTTTTTTTTTTTTATAACTAGAATGGATAGATATTTCCATCCCACCATCAATTTCGATGATGAAGAAAATTATCCTGGTCCTAGCCCTCTTGAATTCACAAACATAGTAGATTCAAACAGTCTCCATTTCCCACTCTCAGAATCTAATTCAGCCATTCCTAATCCTCCTCATGCTGCTATAGCTCTCACTCCCAATGGTTCTAGAGGAGGTCGTTCTCATCATCGTCCTCGTCCAACTTCAGTAGAAGTGGGTTCATCATCTGCAGCTACCGAAACCGACGTCGACAGGCACACATCAGACGTTTGAATGCATTTCGACAAGTTTTACGTAATAGAAAATGGAGTTCAAGTGAAGAAAGCAAGATGCAGGTTCTGTGAAAATACTTATAAAGTTGATGCAGGTAATGGTACTAGTATTTTGAAAAAGGCATGCTGATAAACATATAAATCATCTTGGAAATAGACAACCCAATCAAACTCAAATAACTAATATGGGTAATACTTGGCGTTATAATTCTGATGTATATAGGGAACAATTAGCTTTATATATTGCTACAACTAATCAACCTATTAATATGGTTGAAGATAAATATTTTGAAAGATTTATTAAAAAATTATTTTTATCGGAATTTAGAACTTATTCTAAAACTGCAACAAGGAATGATTTGATAAATTTATTTTAAAAAATGAAATTAGAATTAAAAAATAAAATACATAATTGTCATGTTAGTGTGGCTTTAACAACCGATATTTGCAGTGGTAGAGCTAAACAAGATTATATTTGTGAGACTAGTCATTATTTTGATAACGAATGTAACTTAAATAAATCTTTATTAGGATTTAAATTGATGGATGTGGATCATAATGGTTAACAAATTTATTATAAAATTATTGAAGTTTTACAAGAATATGATTTGATTGACAAAGTTGTAAGTTTAACTTTAGATAATACAAGTTCTAACAGTAAAGTTATGGATTTTTTTAAACTAAATTTTCCTTTTTTTGACAATTTGAAGTTTTTTCACCAATGTTGTACATGTCACATTATCAATTAATTGTAAAAACTGGTATGAAAAGAATTGGAAATAATATTGATAGAATTAGGGATTGTTTAGCTTGGATTACTAGTAGTAATAAAAGAAATTCTATATTTAAAGATGCTTGTATAAAATCAAATTTGTCTCCTATAACTTTTTCATTAGACATGAAAGTTATGTGGAATAGTACTTATTTAATGCTTGATTCATGTTTACTTTATGCAA